TTCCGGGTTTAGGGTTCAAGGTTCTCAGCTTAGGGTCAGGTGGTTGTTTGAAGAAGGATGTAAACCCTAAGCCCCTAAACCCTAAACCCTAAACCTGTAAACCCTAAACCCCTAAACCCCGAAGCCCCTAAGCCCCTAAACCCCTAAACCCCTAAGCCCTAAGCCCCTAAACCCCCTCCCAGGCCCTAGCCGCCGGTCTCGGCCATGAAGTCCTAAACCATGAAACCCCTACTGTAAGCCCTAAACCCCTAAACCCTAAACCCTGAAACCTGAACCCGAAACCCTAATTAAACCCTCCGAGAGGGAAAAAAAAACCCTAAACCCCTAAGCCCTAAACCCTAAACCCTAAACCCCTAAGCCCTAAGCGCCTAAACCCCTAAGCCCCTAAACCCTAAACCCTAAACCCCCTCCCAGGCCCTAGCCGCCCATGAAGTGCCGCAATGGCCACTCTTTGCACCTCACGCACATGCCATGTGCGAGGAAGCATCGCTGCACGGTGTCACGGACATGAAATGGGATTTAGGGTTTAGGGTTTAGGGGTTTTGACAGGGTTTTGGGGGATTGAGGTTAAGGTTTCAATATTAGGTTTCGGGTTTAGGGAGTGGGGCTTAAGTTATAGAGATTGTTGGGGTTAGGGATGATAGGGCTTTGGGATCGGGTTAACTTGCCATTGCAGATGAAGGGAGAATCCCTGCCATCCATACAATTAAAAAGTTTGTTGCAGTTTCCTAGCGCACTAGTCCCTCCGCTGTTTCTTCATCGGGATTTAAGCGGGCGCAGCAAGATCAGAGATATCAGCGCAAAGCTTGAAACCCCATTTCAAAAGCCTGTAAGCCCTAGGCCTGAACCCGAACTCCTTTACACTGTAGGTTTCGGAAATAATATATTGACTTTCAGGCGTCCATCTTCATGGCTCTTAAGGCTCTATGTTTCTTCGAACGACATGTCTTGTAGGGTTCGGCAGAAAAGAAAGTTTAGGGTTTCTATGGTCGGGGTTTGAATGGTAGTGCTTTGATGAGATACATCTTAGGGTTTAGGGGTTTCGGGTTCAGGGATCATATCGTTGATGATGTGCGAAGCCGTGAAATCGACTAATCGCTGACGCCCTAAACCCTAAACCCTGAACCCTAAACCCTAATCGCAGAAGCCCGCCCCCCTCCCCGTTCCATCTTCGGGGTTGGGAGTCTTGGCGTGTGCGTCTCAAGGTTGGTTCGGGGAAACCCTACTGCAAACCCCTAAACCCCTACAGCCCTAAACACTAAAAACCCCATATGGAGCCTAAACCCTAATAATCCTATGGAGCCTAAACCCTAAAAACCCCTACAGAGCCTAAACCCTAAAAACCCCCATAGAGCCTAAACCCTAACAACACCTATAGATCCTAAACCTGAGAGCCTAAACCCCAGAAACCCCTGAGCCCTAAACCTCAGTAAACTCTCAGAGTTGTTGCGTGCCCGCCTTGGGCCATGAGATTTCGGGGGTTGTTTTGGAGCCCAGGATCTCGGGCTTCGAGTTTTGAGGTCTTAGGCTCTTACGGCATAGGTAGAGTCTTAAGATTTAAGGTGTAGGGCTTCGAGTTTAAGGTTTTAGGCTCTTAAGGCATAGGTAGAGTCTTAAAACTTAAGGTGTAGGGCTTCGAGTTCAAGGTTTCAGGTTTGAAGTTTATTTGATTTAGAACTTCGAGCTGCGAGGTCCGCATGCTTCAGCTCGGGCTTTCTCTCTTTTTCCCGGGAGTTTCGATTCCGAACTCCTTCCGAGGTGTGCCACGAAGTTATCCCAAGGTCGGCGAGACGGTGGCTTGGCTTAGGGAGTATGTCATACTGCATTATGAGATATGTTTTTGCTAATTACCCTAAACCCTAAACCCTAAAGTTTCCACGGTCCTTTGATTTGTGGAATATTCTTTGCAGAGCCTGAAGATTATGGTCCAAGACAGATGACTCGTCTAAGGGCTTTCTCGCCGAAATGGGCACCTGCTAAGCCCAGCCTTCATCAGATCATCATGCGCAAGCCCAGGTACATGTGCAGACGCTGCAGCTTCGATGTATGCTTCGACTGCGGTGTGCTCCTTGTCATCAAGACCCTGGGATAGGATGTTTTCTTTCAGGCGTGTTCTTCAAGGTACATATGTCATCAAGAATCGTGTGCTGAAGCCCCTAGGCCCAAAACCCTCAGCGCCTCTACTGGAGACACGTTTAATTGCAAAGGGTGCCTGCAGGCCAGAACCACCGACGCTTGCGGGGGGTATTCTCTACAGTACGGGCTCTACTAAGATACTGCAGTTCCGAAGGGCTTTCGGGTAGTATAGAGTCACGGTTTAGGGTTTAGGGTTTAGGGTTGTATAGAGTTTCAAGACTTCGGCTTCTGATGTTAATCTGCCATGAAGACCGAAACCACAGGTGGTCCTCAACAGGGCTCTTGCAAAGATCGAACTTATTCGACTACCCACATACCTCTCATACTTCTGCTTTGCGAGATGGTGTGGGCGCAATGTAGCCTTCCCATTCCTGAAAGGAAAGAGCGTTCAAGGTTTCTCTGTTTAATATAGGGGACTAAATAATTGCCTATACCATTTTGGAGGTTCCTTACTATAATTATAGTATAATATACCCCAAAACCCTATTCTAAGTATGAAGGCCCCTACATTATAGGTTTTCCACCTGTTGAGGCTGACTTTATGCTTCTTGGCTGTTCTGTGCTGGGACGCATCGAACGCCAAACCCTAAACCCTAAACCCTGTGTGAGCGCCGAAACCCTAAAACCTAAAACCCTAAAACCTAAACCCTAAGCCCTAAATCCTAAACCCGAAACCGTCCAGCTTCAAGTTGAGTTGTCGGTGGCAGCGCTGGAACTCCGAGCCTGCATGAGCATGCGGGAGCACAGTAGGGTTTAGGGTTTATAAGGGCTTAGGGCTTTAGGGTTTTAGGGTTTTAGGGTTTAGGGTTTATAAGGGCTTAGGTTTTAGGGTTTCAGGGTTTAGGGTTTATCAGGGCTTAGGGCTTCAGGGTTTAATGTTTAGGGTTTAGGGACTGCGCCGCCCCCCACAGACTGGCACTGCTGCTGCTGTGGCTGGCAGGGGGCAGGAGCAGGAACAACGGCAATGGTGCTAGCATTCCCCGTGGCAGTTGCAAGCACGATAAGGACGACAAGCACCACAAGTACCACAAGTACTACCAGTACCTAGTACTGGTACATACATGAATATTGTGCCGATGGTGCTCTGAACTCGGCTGAGGCATGACAACTGCGTCATAGAACGGTCGCAGCATTCGCACCCCGGCAAGCATGAAGACTTGGAACTGCCGATAGGCTTGCTTTGGTTAGTCCGGTCACGGTTTGGGTATGACATCGGCGGAAAAGGTGACTAGTCGTGTGGGAGCGATGAACCTTGAGCTTTGTTCGGGCTTGCGCCAGCATTCGTCCATGTACGGATGGATGGATGTGTATATATGCATGCGTACACACATACATATATTGGGCATGATGCATGTATGTACATATAAGTCCAAGCAATAGAGCATCCACACACTCGTTTGCAACTGTAAGCATTGCTGCGTGCATCCATGCACACCAGCATGTGCCAGCGTCGGCAAGCCTATGTTGTCGTGTGTGCCCACTGCCCACTCCTGCAAGAATGCCCGCGTGCTTGCCTGCGTGCCTTTTTGCATGCATGAACGTATTGTCCTTACCTCCCTGCATATCTTGCGTCTTCAACTACCTGTGCAAGTGTTGCTCAGGGGTCTGTACCCGGGCCGTTCATGTACCGAGGTATCTATGATAGTATTGTCGTATATGCAAAACTGCTTCACGACAATTTAAAGCTCCCTGGGCCCTGTGCTTGACTTCCCGCTCTAAGAGCGCAAGATGATGCCGTCAGCCTCATTTTTATGCGATACTTTGGGGTATTCTATTTTGTTTCGAACTTAATACTGAAAATAATGTCAATACAAATCCATGCGCGCAAATCTTTCTAGCTCTGCACACACGCAAGACATGTACATATACGTGCATGTATGCATCCATCCACCATCTATCCGGTCAGCTGGTTGTTGAGGCAATCCGCCACAGGGCAGTCGTACCTCGCTTGACGCTTGCACAGGCAGCCTGATTGAGCCGAACCTGCATAAACCGCTCGCCACGAGGCAGAAGACATTGAGATCCGTCTTCAAGGAGTATGGCCTAGAGCACCAGCGAAGTGCCTCGACCATTTAGGGGGCTTAGGGGGTTTAGGGTTTAGGGCATCCGCAAGCCAGTTCAAATCGGAAGATTCAGGGCAGAGTGAAAGCTCTGAGCTCTGACGGCACCTCAAAACCTGAGAATAACAATAGCGACCGCAGCCGTGTCGTAACTGGAGCGTCAAGGCAAAGACTGATACTTGTAGTAATAAGGCCGTGGTGACTTGAACCATCAGCCGCCAAAAACTGAGTGAGCAGGGTTTTCACGAGTGACTCACGAGAAGCAATGCGTCCAGACGATTCAACCGCAAGGTGTCGTCATTAGCACGACCTACGACATCGTTTCTCCGGGCGACGGGCATATGCGGAGACACCAGCACAAGAGGCAAAGGGCAACTGTAAGCCAAAGGGTGATGCGAAGCCCACATACCACCATGTCCACCTCGTGATTCCGCTCCCCAGGATAACGGGGACCTCAGCTTCCTAAATCATTCCTTAGCAGACGTTGTTGTTAGTAGCAGTAGGAAAAGATTTCGCCGATGCAAATGATTGCTGTGATGCTGGAGGTGCTAGCAGGTGCAGTAGCAAAGCAGAAACTACCAGCACGAGCAGCATGAGTGGCAGTAGCGGGAGCAGTAGGCGAAACAATAAGATAGTGGTAGTAGTAGTAGTAGTGGTAGTAGTAGTAGTAGTAGTAGTAGTAGTAGCAGCAGCGGTAGCGGTAGCACTAGCACTAGCAGTAGTAGTAGTAGTAGTAGTAGTAGTAGTAGTAGCAGTAGTAGTCGTACTACTACTAGCCACCCCCCCCCCCTAGCAACTACACTTG